GATTGTCTTTATACTCATGGCGTAAGATTTTATCTTGAATTATTCAGAGTTTTGGCACTTTATCACAATTTCATGTCATGCTACATCACCTCAGAGACACACAAAATCCTGTTTGACTGCTGGAAGGAGTCAGAAAGTCAAAAAAAAGTTCAGCGTTGGGGAGGCCGAGAGGTCAGAGTCATTTTGGAGGTGATTGCGGTTGAAGTCTGAAAAAATTCCTGTCTAATTTGACATCACCTAAACTGTTATTATATTGGCCTCAAAAAGCTTTTTGCGGTTGAAATAATTTTCCATTTCCAGCAAGGTTTTGCCTTGTTGAAAGGCCTATATTACAGCACGACTGACCTTTTCGGTATTATTGGGTTGTTGGTAGGGCAGTGGGTCTCCATCTGGATGATTTACAATCATAGTCCGGCTTCTTTATCATCTCCATATGGTTTTTCACCCAATTGTTTGTTGAACAACAACTACCAAGGGCCTCTTACTTGATGTTCTTGAGCGGTCATGTTGTTTTCCATCTTCGAGAGGAGTATTAATAGCTTTTAAATGCTTCCAACGTTCTTGGCGTCTGTCCTTCAGAGTGGAATGACTTCTCGACAATTAGATCTGCTCCTGGGGCCTTTAGCAGCTGTCACTGGATCAGTTCGGAGACTGCTTCTTCTCGGCTGAAAGGCATGTCAGCTAATTTGTTTATGGAAATAACTTCAGGCTTCAATAATCCCAAGCTTTTGTCCTATAGGTATCAGCATTCCGAGAAGTATAACTCACTATTTGACTATTGTTGTGGGTGTTTTGTTAAGCCAATAACATTTTTTGGCTTCTTCTGATTGTGTTCCTCCCTTATTCTTGCTGTGCTGGATGGGGACAAACAACTTTAAAATGGATTATTTTAGCCGGTCTTCTGTGCCTTGTAATCGAGCAGATGTTGAGCGAGATGGTCATAACGTTTACTGTGCATCTGTATGTGTTTGTGGGCACACTTGTTGTTTGTTATGGGATTTATTAGGATTGAACGGCCCCTGAAAGGCACTTATGCAAACTGTTACTGCGGCATCTCAGAAATGCATTTTGTAACTTAAGGCCATTATGGTCATGATTCAAATTAGAGATGTGTACGAGTAATCGACTAAACTAGTGAAAACACAATTCAGACAATGCACATTTGTTCTCTACAGCAGGCAAAGACACAATAAAATTAGCCATGCTAAATCACTCCCATAAATCTAGTCAAATGAATGCACTGGGTGCTGCTGTGGATATGTGAGGTTGAAGTGATATGAGGGTAATAGCTTAATAGCTGGTGCATCCAAAGGTTGTGGAAATAGTTTATTTCTTTTTGTTATGTTTGACGCTTGATATATTCATGCATCCCAGTAGATGATGCACCTTAATAGTTAAAAGTAATTTTATATGACAAAAAAAACATTTGGTTTACTCTTTATTACCAAGTCTTTTGTAAACAAGTGAAGACGAGAAGCCGTTTGATATTGCTCTATATCAGCATGGCTGTGATTTATGGCGCTTTTCCACTGCATGGTACGGCAC